TCCCCCCCCCCCCCCCTCCCAATCAGGAATGATGTTCCCATAGATGACGCCAAACTATTGCATCCTAGAATATTCACGGCAATAGAGAAATATATAATTTAACGTCTTAGCTTTGTACGAAGATCCAACACACAAATCAAATAAAAGGGAGGGTGTGATATTAATAAGAGATACTAAGATTTTTATGTGAAAAATCTTAAAAAGGGGAAAAATTACGGGGCATATCCCAGTTTGAATGAATCCATTAGTATTTGTAGTTGATTACGAATGAGACCCTTCATTGGAAGGAAGGTCTTAGCTTGATGTAAAAAAATATACATCATATAGTGTACATTCATTTTTACAAGAAACTGAAATTAAAAGTACATTAGCATCATCTATATAAGTGACTTGTATTAAGCAACAAACAACTTCAAAATTGTCAAATATCCTTGGTGGATTCAAGTGACATCTTCTTTATTGCACACTGAAGCACCTCCTTCAACTTCTTCTTCAAAGAAAGGATATAACTTGATCATCATCAGGCCTCCACTCAATTAAAGGTGTTAGTGTGTTTCTAGAACACTAACAAGGTGCACTATTTTGATCCCTTTTATAAGGGATATCTGATGTTTGCACACATTAGTATGAATGCATATTATCTTAACATAATGCATCTAGACCACCGCCATTATCAGCCCTTCGTCTGAAGTCTGTCATCAGTCCTTTACTTTATATTAGCCCTCATTAGCTTCTTGCTTAACTACTATTAGCAGAACACCCTCTAACAATCTCCTTCAAATTTCCATCCGGACATCGACTACTATTTTGCTTCCTTCGATCGTCAATCACCATCTGACTTCTAATCAAATATTAGAAAAAACCTTCTCATATACTAATAATCACAGGCCCTCCTCCCTGGTACAATTTGTTGATTTGGGATAGGTTATTAGTCCTACGTAATTGTCCCAATGCTAACCAAGAGGGGGGGGGTGAATTGGTAATTTAAAAAACTATTGATGAATTTTAGAAAATTGATTTATAATTTTATCACAAAAGATTTTTTAACCATAAAACATTAAAGTGCGTAAAATTAAAATGCAGAAAATAAAAGAGAATAGAAGAACACCAAGTTTTATAGAGGTTTGGTCCAACTAGACCTATATTCACTCCCTGAATACTCCCTCTTCAGGTATTGCACTATATCAAAGTGACTCTCCTTTTGCCCCCACAGCAAGGCGGAAAAGCCTTCATAATTTTCCTCTCTTCCACCAATCCCCGGTGCTGTAGAGAATCGTCGTCCTTTAACACCCTCCAAGTGTCAGCATAGAACTGTTGTCCTTTCACACCCTCCAAGTGTCGGCAGAGAACCAGTGTCCTTTCACACCCTCCAAGTGTTGACAGAGAACCGACGTCCTTTTT